TTCCTCCTCCCATTTCCTCTAATTTTGATGTGTCTAACAGACACATAGCTATACCCAGGGTTTTTCTTGTTTAAATGATTTCATGACCCATGTTTTTTACCCTAGAAAGGTGCTAAGTCCAATTTTTTTCTCATCTCCACAAGAGAATTTTTCAGGCCCAAGATCACTGTCACTTTTGTGCAGATGTCACTAGTTCCGGAGTATACTCTAGAAGACAGGGCTACCACCACCTATATTATGCCAGCTACAAAGAGGCCTTCCATCCAGGCATAGCCAAGTAACTTCCTTCAAACTACATTTCACCCAGTATCATGCATATCCTAACTATGTTTTCTCCATCCAAGCTACGCTTCTTTACAAGTATCATCGAGCTTTATTTCTCTGAATTTCCCTTAAGTATTTCTATTGCCATATAAAGCCTAAATAACAGTGTGAACTTTGTTCCCTCTTTATAAAGAACTGTGCTGGTTTGGGCTGGGGTAGAGTTAATTTTCTCCACAGTAGCTAGTATGGATCTACGGTCTTGATTTATGCTGGAAACAGTGCTGATAACACAAGGGTGTTCTACCTAATGCTGAGCAGTGCTTACACAGAGCCAAGGCCTTTTCTGCTCCTCACACCACCCCACCAGCGAGCAGGCTGGGGGTGCACAAGGAGCTGGGAGGGGACACAGCTGGGACAGCTGAGCCCAACTGACCCCAGGGATATCCCACACCACACGGAGTCATGCTCAGCATGTAAAGGTGGGGAAGAAGAAGGAAGGGGGGACATTTGTAGTGATGGTGTTTGTCTGCCCAAGTAACTGCTACGTGTGATGGAGCCCTGCTGTCCTGGAGATGGCTGAACATCTGCCTGCCCATAGGAAGTGGTGAATGAATTCCTGGTTTTGCTTTGTTTGTGCAGCTCTTGCTTTACCTGTTAAACTGCTGTTATCTCAACCCATGAGTTTTCTCTGTTACTCTTCTGAGTCTCTCCCCTATCTCACCAGGGAGGGAGTGAGCAAGTTGCTGTGTGGGGCTTGAGTTGACAGCTGAGATTAAACCACAAGAACACAATACATATGTAGGGTTTTCTCTATTTTAGCTAGACTCTTGTAACTGACAATATTTTGCTTTTTCTATAGAATTATTTAGCTTTAAAGTAAGGTCACAGTCCTATCTTCCCCCATCCTGTCTTCTCACAAGTTACATGGAAGGCAGTATTGTCCTGGAGCAACTTCTACATGGGAGACACACAAAACTTTATTTAAATAGACCCCTTCCCCTTCATTTTATGGCTGCACAGCTTAGTCACAGACCAACTCCAAGTTTACAAAAGAGCACTATTACAGCTGCTGTGAGAGCCTGCCTACAAGTATCATATGCTCACAAGGTCATTCAAGCAAATAAATTCACTAGCTGTGAAATAAATTATAATACAACCATATATAAGTACTAGGAATTTATTATAATTAAAAGAAGTCCAGGCATTTATATGAATAATGATGACATCAGTTATAGGTATTCGACAACCCGAAGATATAAATCCACTGCTAGTTCTGTAACTGCCAGATGGAATTAACAACCTGTCCACAGTCAAACTGGACATTTCCTGCATAACTAAGAATTTTTTCCTCTTCATCTGATCAGTTACTGACCACGGTTACAGACAGTAAGTTCTGCATACTGACACAGAAGACAGCAGAATTCTTTAATACCTACAAAATTTCTTCTGTGGAAGGCAGCTATATGCAGTTTACCATTTTCTTGTCGCATTCTATTGTTTAAACCTGCTTAGGAATGTTTCTTTTTCACCTTATAAAATATTTGTATTAAAATATCACAAAGAAGCAGTGTCATGTACAGCATGTTATTCACTGCATTAGGCACTATGTGACATCTGAATATGCCATTTGCGTTACCTATCCGTACACTGAATTGGACTGTATAATAGGAAGAAGCACCACTAGAGAAGCAGCTAATAGCTTATTCAACGTACTGTCACAACTCTGTTTCTACTTTGCTAGAGAACCCAAAGAAGATTGCTGGGAGGTGGACGAGGTGCAGAAGAAAGTTTGGGGGTTTATATACCTGCATCTATACACACACATACATACATACATGTTTTCTTTTCTTACTGTTCCGAAGCTCATTTCAAAGAATGTTAAAATCCAACACAGAGGAATTTTTAAACTACATTAGCTTTAAGTAGAGACCTCAGTGAAAATATTACCAAATGCTTTCAGAGTAAAGTTCCTAACATTATCCACTGAAGCTGGAGATCTGCAGACTACTAGCAATTAAAAAAGTGCCCAATAAACCAAGCCCTTCTCAGTGAAAGCTACTGTTTCTTGTAGTGCCTCTGACTGACCCATATTTCTAATTCCAGTATTTTGTATTTTTTTCATGTCTTTTCCCATCACTGCAAAATAAACTTCAAGACACAACTGAGTAAAAGCTGTAAGTGAACTAACATGGATTTGTCGAGGAAATACATGTGGAATACATTTACCTAAAAGAGCACATACCCATTTGTGTCCCCCAAGCATATACAGAGTTCAACAGTAGGTAAGAACAATGTCCAGTTATCCCAATAGTCTACCCAGAATACCCTATAAGCAATAAAGGGTACGTTATACCATAGAAAGTGCAAAGCTTTCACAGTGCTGCTGACTTCAACTAAGCAGAAATTATATTGCACATGTACACCAGAAGGGTAAGAAACAATGGGAAGAAACTTTCCCTGAATGAGAGAAAAAAAGGATATTCAGAAATATCTGGCTAAAAACACAGATTAATATTAACCTTGGCCCTGACCCCCAACTGAAAAGCAAGCCTCCATGACGCAGAGTTCCCTATCCAATACCAAGCTTTAATGCCACTCATGTCCACCACCTATTTACTGCCACCAGATGTAGTACTTCCTAAGCCCTCCCAAAGCTTTCACATCTCACCACCGAATAACCAGTGCCCGCAGACTGTTCTCCATGCTTCCCACTCTCCCAATACCACAGAGCACTGCAGCACATTTCCCATCTTTCTGAAGCACAGAATTTCCACACCCTCACCCCAAGTCACCACAGCCTCACATCTCTCCTGCCCAATCCCACCACCACCCTACAGATCTCTCATATCCCAGAGCTTTCCAAAGCCAGAAGCACAGCACAGTGCTTCCGCAGCCATATCCCAAAATCCAGCCTCCCTGCAACACACTATCATCTCAGTGACTCGCACTGCAGTACCCTGAAGCATCTTGAATCCAGCCACTGCGCACTTTCCTCCCCTCTGAACAGAGCTGCCCCACCTGCTCACCCAGTGAGCCACCACAACATCACACAGCACAAACACTTCCAACACACCACACCAGCCACTCCTCAGGGGTGTTCCAATCCACTCAGGTGCTGGGAGTTACAGGCAGCTGGGAGGCAATAAGAATTCAGACCAGTCAAGGTGGGCAGCAGAGTGTAACAAAGAGCAGATAGCCAGAAGACAAGGGAGGGATGCAGAAGCAGGAGGGGTGGAGAGAAGAAAGGAAGAGAGACCATGAAAAGAGAGGGAGAGAGAAATTACAGTAGACAAGGGATTTTACAAGGCCATAAACCATCTAGAATTAAGAATTAAATTAAGGACCACAAGCCCTGAATCCCCCTCCCCCAGACTGGTGAAACTCAAAAGAGCTTCCTAAGGGAACTCATTTCCTTTCATCTTTAACCATAATAATTACTCAGACTTTTCTAAGCTTCACCAAGTATACAAAAACAAGAAACTCAAAAGACTCTGTCACTTTAATGAAAGAAAGTGCAAGCTCTTATTTAAATGGTAAAAGGAAAAAACTGGGGGGAGGGAGAGGAAGGAGAGTAATAAAAGGCATTTATTTCCCTGAAAAGAATGAAATCCTAAAAGCTACACAAGATAAACATCTCAGGTTTTACCATTAAACAGTACTGATTATTTTAATAGGATCTAGTATTCAGATTAATCCCACAAGACTTACAAAGTAGGTAAAAGATAGCATTACTTTATATATCCTGAAGGAATATATAAAGTGTGAAGGGAGACCAAAATGGAAGGAAAACAAAGAATTGGAAAAAAACAGAAAATTAGAAAAAACAGAAAATTAGAAAAACCATTCTAGCTTAGAATGCTGCAATTGATGCTTAAGTGCTTCAGTCAGACTGACATACTAAATACACATATATAAGCTTTGCGTTTGCAACACAGCACTTGCTAATTATAAGACTAATTCATTGTCTAATAATTTTTTGATTACACAGTATAAAAACAGCAGTAGTGACAAACATGCACAATAAACCTCAGGATGATTCTGAATGGTTTTTGTAAGTTCAGCCCTCCCACGACCTATTTTTGGAAGCTGAAATTCGAATACCATTAAATCAAAAGAGAAGCAGCTGGCAAGATACCATGTACACCAACAACTGATCTCCAAGACTAATGGGATGCTCCTCACTGCATCCTGCAGCACAGTGTCTAAATACCCAAGCTAGCTCAAGTAGAGAAAACAATCTAGCAATGCAATGTGAGCTTCATGAAAACTATTTCATCACTCTTCCTAAAACCAATAAAATACAGGGTAAATTAGCTGCTACTGCAGCAGAATGCTTCCAGTATCTGAATTAGGTTAGGTATCTGTATATCGTATCACAAACAGCTTTCACAAAGGCCACAGGGCCAATAATTTTCTTTTAGAATGTAGTGCAGTGTCTTCCAAAAGCTAAATGTCTATCTGCTGCCTCTGAAGGCATTTTATACAAACACAGGCCAGTAGGAAATCAATTGCTTCCCAAAAATATTGTTGCCCAAAAGAACACAAGTTATTATCATAGAATTTTTACGTTATTAAAAAAATTAAAGTATTAATGAGCTCTGTCCATACCATTTCTCAGTTCAAATCAGTAAGTAGATAGCAAGAACCACAGTAAAAAGTTTTTTTAGTCAAACACTAGTGTGAGTCCTGTGAGTGCAAGCTAAAAATGCCTCTAAAAGTAACTAAGAAAGACTCACCAAGTTCATTAAGGCTCTGGGCAGCTTTTGTTATCTCTCTGCTTCCTCCTTGCAGTTGCCCTTGAAGTCTCTTACTGAGATACAAGATGCGTATTATCCTCCGCAGCAAGTCACAGGCAGCCTGCAGAGAAATCATAGCATAGGGGATACTATCAGTACATTATGATCACATAGTGTAAGGCCTCAAATATGGAAATATTTGAACCAAAAAAAGGAAATACGAATATGAATAAAACCAAGGAACTTTAGAACACTGCAATCCCTCTTCCCAGGATTTTTAACATGCTTTTATGCAATACAGACCAATACTTTCTAAAGCTGGTAATTACATTTACAGGGCTACTGAGATTATGCTATCATTCCTGGTTAAAACAAAAAAGAAACTGATAACCCTATGACAGAGACATGTTCTATTTCTAACTAGAAGTGAGCTTTATTTTACATTGTGCATCTCCCCTCAATATCCCTCTCCTCTGTAAACCACAATAAGATTAAGAAGTTGGCCTTGCCAATCAAATCTTCTTCCAAAATAAACAAAATGGCAGCATTTACTTCAGAGGACAATAAAATGTAAAGACTAAACTGTTACTACAGATATTGAATCTTATTATGGGAATATATATAAAAACTTATTTTCAGCAAAACTTTCCAATGCCAGTCACTTTCATTCAGCCAACCAGTAGTTCACATTTTCTTGTAGGTTTATTAAAATACATGGTATTTTTGGCTAAAAATTAAGAAGATGGATGCATATGTAAATTTTCAGGAATATTTCGCTGCCACCAATATAGGAAAAAAGGCATTGCTGGCATCTGAATCAAACATAATACTTTGATAATTTTTCACTCAACTGAGATCTTGGAACAGGCTTTCTGCTTCTACACAGTAAATAATAGAGATGGAAAAACAGTAAGTTACATCATGTGTAGAGTTCCTCTACTAGAGTACTGGGGTAGAAAGTAGAGTCTACAGGAGCGGCAACATTCTCGAGTGGGTAACATCTAAACTAGGATTCAGAGATGCAATTCAGGAGAAGGTTAAAAAGTATGTGGATTTTGGTACAGCCATACATACAGTCCAACATCTGCAATCAGATTAACAAGAGAGGTAAACAAGAAACTTAGAATATAATTATATAATATAGTTGTTCTGATATATTTTCCCTGGTACTGAAGGCAAAGCCTCCTCAACTTTATAGATACCAAAATTAAATTAAAATTACTTTAGAAAATATTTAGTATCTGACAGACTTTGAACCCCTTCCTAGAGTTCTTAGAGTTTCAAGTTAGTATCTTTGAAATTGTTATGAGAACATATACCAGTGAGTCATTTCAACTAATATTCAGTAGATTGCACAACTTCTCAGTCTCTTACCTATGCCAGCACAAACCAATTAGAACACAAATATTTATAGTACAATTATATTAAACATCTAGACAGAACCAAAAGGAAAAGTTCAGAAAATCCCCACCGAGGCAAATCACCAAGAGCCTAGTTATTGCTTTTGGCTCTGTATCACATAGTCTGAAGTGCAAGTTTTCTAAGCATTGTAACACAACTTAACCACATGATTTCTATTATGGTTAGTGAGAACCAAGTGGGGTTTATCCTACTTTGACAGATTAGTGTATGAGTTTTTATTAATTCATTTCTTTAATTAGAAAGCTCTTGATCCACATATCACTTTCATACCTATGAACTGAATTTCTGCAAGATGAATCAAAAATGGCTTTTTATATAGCACACTCTGCTTTGCCAAATAAGAGGGCACAGTATTACTACTTTGCTTTCAAATTTAATTACTCTCTAATCCGATTGCGTACCTCTAGCTAATCTTTTTCCCTAGGAATTCAACTTCAGTTATTTTCTGACCATCTTCTACTTTACATGCCAAAAGATTATTTCTTTTTCATTTACTTGTTGCTCATTATCTCCTATCACAAGAAACAATCTTAAAATGCTTATCAACCTGAATAAGAGATGGGAAAAGTTACATTTAGAAACAAGAATTAAAAAAAAAAAAAAGGTTTTATCTTCTGGCCCTGTGAATTAGGAAGAGAAAAACCCAAGGACACTGAAAATGCACTCTTAACTTCACAGCAACTGTGCCCTTAACAAAGATTCTGTTTCACGGAAGTATTTCCATTTACACAAGTTATCCAACTTAATAAAACTCACAGTCACTGTAAGGGAATGCAATATATAAGGACTGTGTAATGGAAATAAAAAATTCTGTCATATAGCGGAGTTGTTCACAGCTGCTAGACCTTCTAACCTGAGCACCTTCATAACCAGAGTCTGAATTAATTCTGGAAACATTCCTTCCTGAGTTGATAAAGTATGCTTTTCTAAGGGAGATGCTTTCATCCAAGGAATGAATTCCACCGTTCAGGCAAGAATTAATTTGGAAAAGGCCAGCGGCCTGAGTTAGCCCCTATGGGTTTAGTAAAAATGAAACCTGATTTTTCTGGAGATTACACATAAGGTACCTCCTGAAATGTAAAGCACCATATCAATACTAACAGACATTATTGGTACAATTCAGGCAGTCAAAAACCTCATACTTCTAATCTCAAATTAATTTCAAGAAGTTATTGAAAGAAGACTTAGAAACAGAGAACCACTAAAAATGTGTTAGTTCATAGCTCATACATGCAATTGCATGCATCTGCCAGAACACACTGTAATTGGAGGTATATGTAACAGAAATCTGAAGAAAGATGAAACAGTCCACTATCTTCAGACTACTTTTCTCATTTAGTTACAGCAGCATCAGGATGAAATCTGCTACTGGCAATTATTTTAAAGAATAACTTTAAAATACAGAATTATTATTTTTTAAAAGTGGTTTGGCTTTTCTTAATTGACTCTTAAAAGCATTTTTAAACACTGAGATATCTAAAATTAAGCAAACATGAGGAAACACTTGGTTAAACAAGAGCGGCACAGAAAATAACCCTCAGAAGGACAAATTCCCTGCCTACATATTTCAGCTGCTAACTATTCCCATTTAGCTTGTGATCTACTACAGAAAGACTCAGTAGAGGACAGCAGAAAGCAAGCTTTGTGACTGCTGCTCCACTGGGATGACATGAAGCTCTAAGAGCACACAGCAGAGATTTAGAATTCAGGACTAGATTTGAATTTTGACAATGAATTTGCAGCAAGTATGCTTATGAAATAGCCAGACTATATTAAAAACAATAAAGGATGGCAAAATCCAGCTTTAAGCAAGCCAAATATTCCTTCAGTTTGTAAGCAGTCCCAGAGCAATCAATGGAAAAGCACTGAAATACTACCATTATGAGTACAAGAGTCTCTTAAACACCACACAGTTCAGCAAAACATACCTGCCAACCCCACAGATTTTGACAGAAGGCAACCTCTTTTATCAGTCATCTACCTTTTTCTACTTATTCTACCAGCTGTACACCAACTGATAAAATTTGTAAGTTTGAAAGTGCACCATGCAACAAGTCTTGCATTTGGGAGCAATTTCACGTCACAAGCCCTGCCACTGAAAGGAAATGAACTGTCTACTGTGCTGTTGCCTTCCTGAATGAACAAGTCAGCTGGGTGAAGAGACACCACAGTTTTACATCTTGGGCAGGCAGGAGGGTTGAGATTTCAGAGGCCTATTGACTCAACTCACGGTTAAGTCCAGATTCATTTCATAATTCAGGTGTCCTGACCCTCAATTTCTCCTAGCAGTATCGCGCAACACAAAGCACTCACTATCTAACTGCCAACACAAGAAAGTTCATGCTGAGGATAAACTCCCACTGGCAGAGAAGCTGGAATCATCATTCCTCTTTCTACACTTAAGTAAGTGGATTGGGACACTTGGAAGGGTAGCCTAGCAGGCTTCCCTTACCCTGAAACTCTTTTTTCTGACTTACAGCCAAGAAAAGCCAGATATTACAAATTCCCTGGCACAGGCTGCTGACTTTGGACAGATGCTGCTTTCACACCATAGGAAAATCTCTGTAACCCTGCTACAGTAAAGAGGAAGCCAAGAGCATCCAAGAAACAGTTCCTAAATTCAGGAACTATTCTTCCCAGATGTCCTACAGTTTGACTTTGTGTAAGGTCAGGGCAGAAATTATCTTCATCTTTAGACCCAAATTTCTGCAACCCTTTCCACAAAGAACAAAAAATTCTGCGCCTAAATTCTGCCACATGGAAGTTAGGGAAGTTTTGCCCAGTGGCAAGAGTAACAGCTGGAGCTGAAAAGAACAGAAGCAGCTGGACAAACTGGCTGAACAGAATGTTAAGAGCTTCCTGCTGAACTTCAGTGTCACTGAAAGTAATGTAGAAAATAGAAGCTCAGCAGAAAGACTACTGATGCTGCTCCACCAGCATGACAATTTGCAGCTACATCTACTCTACTGTACAACAGCAGTCACCCACAGATGGCAATCTATTTAAGTGTATGTCCACAGCTCAAATATTGGGTACTAAAAGACAAGTTCCTAGTTCTGCAAAGTTAAGGCAAATTCGCGAAGACAAATAGTTCAAACAGTAACTCATTAAATACTTGTTGATTTGGAATTTTGTTGTTTTTCAAACCATAAACTGAATAGAATGCAGCTACGTGACTCCTGAAGATCTATGGAATACTTTTCAACTATTATAAAATTAAAAGTGGAAGTGTTTGACACATATCTCACCACCACTGTAATAAGCCCTCTCCCACTTCTGTCCTCTAACAGAGATCTATGTTCTCACGCAGACCCCATTTATATTCAAAAGACAGGAACAGCTACATACCTGGGCTTATAAAACACCAGAAACACAACTGGCTTCACAAGTTGCATCTTGACTATTTTGAAAGAATTAATTCCCAAACTCTTTACTAAACTGCAGCCAAACGTCATTAACTCAGAGGAGGAAAGTGTCTTCTCTACACAACAGCACCATAACACTAAATACTAAAACTACACAAACAGTAATGACATTTAATTAATATGCACTCAGATAACCCTTCCCTCTTCTCTGCATCTCTACAAACCTGACTTAGCTAGTGCAAATGTCATTTCCTACTTTGCAATAGAAAGCACTTCTCAGTAGCTCATGAAGAGACACACAAATAATGATTTTCACTGAGAAATACTGACAATGAAATACAGGTTACTGGAGTATGAAAATCCCACCCATGTCCGACAATTGGGAAATAATACATTTTCAGAAAGTTTTAAATACATTTTTAATATAACTTACTTGGAGTTTTGCTAGCTGAGCTGTGCGGGACACTATTTTGTTGTAGGGGTCAACAATTTTGACTCTAATTCTAAGAAGAGAAAATTATTTACAACAGTATTAATAAATCACATGATAGAACAAATAAGAATTTCTATTTTCTAATCATATACTGAATGGCATACCTATCAACAGTACTTTGTAGAGCACCAATTCTAGTCTGCATCATTTGGAGGACACCTGCAAAATAAAGCACATTTTTTACATGCAACACTTGTCAATTACTGGAAGACCTAGTCTTCAAATCATAACAACTACTGCAGACTATTTTAGCACTAAAATAAAATAAATAAATAAATAAATAAAAAACAAAAACCCAAAATCAAAAACCAACAGTTTCCGCCTTTACAGCAAATTTACTACAAAACTTGAAAACAGATTGAAAGGAATGAAACACAGGATATTTGGAAACAAACTATGCAGGTTATAGGTCACTTACTAAATGTTATGGAAAACTTATTGATAGAGAACACAAACCTACAGAAGAAATATCGCTCTGAAATCCATCATACATTAAGTTTCAAGTAATATTTAGAGTATGTTACTTTTTAAGAGAATGATGATCAGGACTGCTGGTCAAAGGCATAACCTGATACAAACACCTGAACATGACATACAAAAATGGTACAACCTATTTAACATTATTTATTTAACACAGTGACTAGATAGTTCAGAGAAACCAACAAAGAAGACTGAGAAGATAACCAATTCTATCTCAAGGTTTTACTCCTGTCCATAAGCACCTTTAGCAAAAACTAAAGCCTCGATGTCATTGTGAGGTCATCTAATTTAGATTACAGAGCAAACTACCCTAACTCTGTTTGTTCCAGGTTAGTTTGGCAAAACAGTACAACGAAAGCCCACAAGCATGCTTGTTCTTTTCTTGTTAAAAAGCAGTCAAGGGTAGCAGTCATTTTTGCAATATGGAATCAGCCTGCTTAGAATTTAATTAAGTTACACCAACCCAGGCCTATGAAATTATTTTTGTTCCAGTTACTGTTTGCCATTCTCAAACATGTAACATTTTTTTGTAAAGCCCTGTTTACGAGCATGCCATCATCAAATTGGATAAAACTGCAATATGATATACTAAGATGGAAGACACACATAACTACTGCTAATAGTTTTATTCAGCTTGTCCTGTACTGGGACTGTATCTCATGTATTTTGTATTAATATGCAAACTCCCATCTTCTCCATATTTCAGAATTATTAACACGGCCTAGTGACAGACTCAGGAGTTCCCTGACATTTATACATGAAATGATAGGCATGCAATTCTTACGCCTCAGAGGATGAAGACATGAGATACAGTGAAAAGTTGGCAGAATAGGCTATTTTTTACTCTACATTGCAATAATGGGGGGAGGGCCAGTAGCTCAACTTTACTACATATATGACTGTGACATTGCTATAAAGCATATAGCAGTCTTCTTGCCAGAAGGCAGAATAAGAATGGGTGAAAAGGCAATCAACCCTCTCCATCTGCTGCATAAGATACGGGACGATATTATTTAGCCTACCTTGAGCTCAAGGTATCTATTGAGCTACCTATGTGTTTCCAAGTTCATAATTAAAATTTCTACTGACATCCATCTTTCTTCCTCTTACGAAACTTGACTCAAGTGTTTCTTCTACAGTGACCATATATCTCACAAGCATAGATAAGAAAGCCTTGCAAAACCTGAAACATCTGCCTAGACTTTTGATTTTCTTGGCAACTGCAGACTGAAGTTCCTACTGATGTCTCAAGTAACAAATACTTTTCAGCTTAGAACCTCTGCATGCTTCTTCTTCCCTCACACACAGAAATGGCCTCTTAAAGATCATAGTGCTAAGGAAATGAAGACAATTCAATAAATTTGAGAATTAGATTTTATTTTTACTTTAGGTTCTTAATTTTAAAATATGCATTATTTACCACACCTACTTTACAGACATATTTTATAACTGAATAGCTGTTTTGAAGTACTTCATTCTTTCCTCAGAGCAATTTTAGGAAGGAATGCCTTCAGAGACAACCATGATTTCACAAAATAACATTCCACTGAGCACAGATTGGTGAAGATCATGACTGGGAGGTATTTATTAATCACGAGATTAACTACAGATTCCTATCTACCTCTCATTTGGAGGGTGAACACAGATTCCAGTCTTCATATGCTTAATTTTCCAACTGTCCAAAAAGCTATTCAGGAGCTACCACTGCTAGATTAAATAAGCTTTTATTTCGTTTTATAGCTGTACACAAATGCTATCAAATACTGTATCCAGCAACTTCCAAAGGCTAAGGAGATACTATAACTTTCAGTAACCAGAAATTCTCTGGTTATGCCAAAACCTGGAAGAAGGAGGAATACATAAAATACTTACCCAGTTACAAAATGAAAGGAAAAAGGGTATATGCTTGAATCCCATAGTATATGCAAATTAGCGTGTTATAGAGGTAAATATATTTTTCTGAAGAAAAACCAATAAGTTCCCAGTAAGTGACAAAGAGCAGAATGGCAGGCTTGATGAGGTCCTTACACAAGAACAAAATATTGCAACTATTTTTCTAATTGTTTGTAAGTAAGGCCTTTGAAAGTCTGCAGTTTATATTAAAATCCAGATGCCAAACAGTGGAATAACATAAAGGTATGTATTTAACTTAATAGCCCCCTTCTAGGAAAAAAAATATCCCAATGCAATCAAGATTATGTGTTAAGACTTGCAAACCATGCAACACATGCATAAGCAACATGCATATGCTTGGTACTTACAGCAGCAGATATCAGCTAATGTTGCAACAAAATTAGGCTTATTTAGAAAAATATATTAAAAGGTCAAAAAGATTTGATGGCTAAAGTTGCTCCGAACTGACTATCAAAGTATGTTTTCCTATGAAGTAGTTAACTCCACGGAAGTACCAGTGAAATCTTCTCCCTGGAGCTCCATCTACTGACATAAAAAAAAATAAAGCTGCCACGTTACTCCTCAGAAGTAAGATCTGCAACCTTAACATTAGGGGCCGAAGTTGGCAGTGAACGGCGTTTCCTGCAGAGATATTAACAGTGCTTCCTCCATTGTAACAAGTAGCAAGCATAATATACTTTACCTTCCAGGGATTCAATTCCAGTTGCTTGGGCCAACAGGTCTTCATGTCTTGCAACAACCTTAAAAAAAATCAATCAACACAGAAAAATGGGAATGTGTGCCTGAAAGGAATATCAGTACATCATCATCATTCCTACATTGGGCATTAAAGTATCTCATCCACCCTACATTAGGCAGACACAGGAAAAAGCAACCACACCTTAAAAGATGAAAGGTTTCGGAACACAAAGCAACAAGCTCAGAACAAGAAGAGGGTCAATAACTACAGTACAGCTGACATCTTCGAGCCAGCAGAGCAATCACACTTCAACACACCATCATAGATAATAACAACTGTAATTTTAAGCTTATTAATCACATAGTAATAATTATACTCAAATTATTAATATTTTCTATTTATGACATTTAGATACTAGCTCCCAAAGAATTTACTAACTGAACAGGGAGAGGGAGGAAGAAGGTTTTGAAACAGCGCACTTAGCATGCATTCTCACTGCAAGGTGCACTGTGGATCTGTGGTGTCTGTGTAGATTTTACCAAAAACCCTTCTATTATCTAAAGTCAAAAGCCTTCCTGTAGGTGTGGAGATGTGCTAACATAGGTTATAGCTGCCCCACTAAAGGTAAGTCTTAGAGCCTAGGCTACCCTCCATCACAGGATGAAAGGATACAAGTTAAATCAATCCTTGTTTTATCACAGTTGTCATCCCAAAACACAGTCCAGCAGTGCTGATAGCTGACATGATCATTTGGAAAGAGTCAGGAAACATCCTTACAAGGAAGAGCAGAACTTCCATGTATGCAGAAATAGGCTGCAGAAACTAAAAGCAGCATATGGCTTCCTGGTAAGGGGTATAAAGAGTGGGCTCAACTAGGTTAAGCATCAGACTCACTACTAGTTTTGCTGCAAGCTGTACCTTTAGTTACTGCTTGCAGAGTACAGTGGGCAATTTCAGAAGCAACAATATCATAAGATTACTAAGCTTTTGACAAGTTTATATCAACCACCCCAGAATAACAGGTACACTTTAAACTTACTTGTAAATGAAGCTCTTTATCCAACTGACTAATACCTTGGGCAAGTTTTGCCAGTTGCTCAGCTATCACAGCCTGATGGATAGACTGGGAAGTATAAGCTTTCACATCAAAGTCTTCTCTGAAGAAGTCAGCGTAACATTCTGAAAAACATTTTGATTTTACTTTCACAGTTCAGAACAGGTAAAGAACATTTCTAGACCCAAAGCATACAGTTCTCTGACCCTCAGTTTCTCCAAACATAACAGCTTATGTTCTCTGTATCACACAATACAAACGTGACACCAATTGGAGAAGAAACCACAATCAAAAGAAACAAGTTTGGAGCTGATGACTGGGGTTTGGGTTTTTTTGTAAATAAAGACTCGTATACCTTTACTCCACATTGCCTTTTCTTGAGTAGAATACACTAAAAAGTATCTATAACTTCTCCAAACTTCACAGTGCAACTAGGGAGAGGCTGTTGAGGTTGTACCCATAATCAAACACAGACACCAAGTCACCTTCGAATCACTGAGGATCGAAGTGGCATGAGACACAACTTCCTGAAACCATTAAGGTCTCTTATAAGGGCACTGCTTTATAAAACAGTGAATTAAGAGATGATACTGCGAGGGAGACTTTGAGGGAAGCAACAGCCGAGCTTCCATACAGCGGTATTACCGAGCGCCTTCACCTCTCCTTCCTGTGCACCCCTTCTCCCTTCAGCAGCAACACGCCACCTCGCAGGGCCCCGCCACCAGAACCCTCGGCCCTCAGCGGAAGGCTCCCCACCGGGAGGGCTGGGGTCGCTGCCCGGCGCCGGCCGCTTCTCCGCCGCCGAAACTTCCCGTGACTTGACAGCGGGGGAGTTTCACCGCCCTGCTCGCCGCGTGCCCGAGCACCGCCGCCTCCTCCCAGGCGCTGCCCGTCCTAGCAAAGGACCCTCCGCCTTCCGCGGACCGCCCGCAGAGGGACCCCGGCACGGTCCCGCCGCCGGGGTCACAGCCGGGAACTGCCCTCCGCGCCGACCCCCCCAGCCGCCTCCGAGGGCCGCGCCTCACCGTCCGCCAGCAGCTCTGCGAGGGCCGGGGCCGGGGCCGCTCCGCCGCCTGCCCCCGCCTCCTCCATGCTGGCAGGTACCGGGAGCCCGCGCGTCACTCCCGGGCCGCGGCGCGCCGCGATGATGGCGAAAGCGCGCGACGGAGCGGGGCCGCCCCGGGAACGGCAGGGCGGCGGCGGCGGGGTGCTCGCGCACGTGGTGAGCGTGGGGCAGGGAGTGCGGCGGGAGGCGGCTCCTGGGGTCCGCGCTTCCGAGCCCCGCAGGCACCCACAGGCGGGAGCGAGCTGAGGCCGGGGCGGTCAGGCCGCAGCCCCCGCCGTGCGGGCAGAGGAGGCGGGAGCCGGGCCTGTAGCGGGAAGACGAGACAGCGGGCTTGGAGCAGGGGCGGCTCTCGCCTGGCATGAGGAAAAACTTCCTCAGTGAGGCAGGGAAGGGGCTGCCTGGAGCCGGCCCTGCGCTGAGAGGTGGCTGAGAACCTCCCCTCCAGCCCGAGCGAGATGTGAGCCCTGGGTGGGCATGGTTCCCCAGGGGAGCTGTGGCTGCCTTATCCCTGGCAGTGTTGAAGGCCAGGTTGGAGGGGTCTTGGAGCAACCTGATCTAGTGGAAGGTGTCCCAGCCCATGGCAGGGGGGTTGGAACTGGATGATCTTTGTGTTCCCTGCCAACCCAAACCAGTCCGTGATTCTGTGAATGAAAACACATGGGTGATACTGCCTGGGGATGGCACAGTACAACAAGGCCGGCGCTCAGCAGCTGGCTGTGGCAAAAAGCTTGTTCCAGCACTCCGCAAGCAAGGGCCTGCTTGCAGGATGCTCTACTGAAAAGCAAGCTGCTTCATGGCCTGTCAGAAATAGCTGAATGACTTCTGTTTCAAACACTGCTTGTTTTTCCAGATGTTAAAAAGATTAATTATACATGATTGGTGACATAGAAACTAAAGAATGCCAGCTGAAAGATCCCATGGATTTGTTTCATTCTGGGCAAGTTGTAAAAATATGTGCCCCCATGGTCCGCTATTCCAAGTAAGTAACTGTCATGTCAGCTATGTTTTCAGTGTTTGTTCTGTGAGGAAGTTTATCTTGACTGCAAAAAACAGGGATTATTACATTTTTTTCTTTTAGTCATTTAAGACAGACAGATGTGGGATGTATTTTACCTTATGATAATATTAGATATCCCCAGAGTACGGCATGTCAGAACAGCATTTTAGAGCAGCTAGTCAGGAAAATGGCTTTACTATTTATTTTTTGATTTTCATATGTCTGCAGGTTGGCTTTCAGAACCCTGGTTAGGAAATACAGTTGTGATTTATGTTACACGCCAATGATAGTAGCAGCTGATTTTGTGAGATCTGCAAAAGCGAGGGACAGCGAATTCACAACCAACAAAGGTAATTTTTTTTAATAAACTGTTGCCTTATCAGAATGTTTTACATGGTGATAAGCTAAATTGGCCAAATGAATGAAGTCTGTCACACAGCTTGACATCTATTAACAGTTTTGTTATACTGTATCTGATTGATTATAAAACCATAGAAATATTCTAGGTGAAAGTAAACACATTCCAGTGACAGTGTGTCAAATGAAATAGTGGAAAACTGAGATCTGTGGTGGGTTGACCAAACATAGGTGGCCATCAACCACCCACACAGCTGTTCACTCATTCCTTCTCCACCTTCTTAGTAGCACAGGGGGAGAACAGAAAGAACAGAACAAAAGCGAGAACTCGTAAGTCAAGATAAAGATAGATTAATAAGTGAAGGAAAGAAGGAGGAAAAAACAGACCAACTGATGCAAAGGCAGTCACTTCCCACCTAGCACTAGCAGACCAATGCTGAACCAGTCTCCAAGAAACAGCCACCCTGGCACACACTTATTTTGCTGCCACTCCAGTTTTATTTCTGAGTTTATTACCCTAACACTGAGATATTTTTAGATGCTTTTAATGTAATGCAGTAGCTGTAAAAGAGAAGAGCATGGTCCAAATAACCATCTGGCTCTTCGCAGGGGTTTTAGTGAATCACAAATGGTTCAGCAGACCTGAGTTGAGGATTACTGACACTTTGGTTTCCCGCTTGAGACAAAGCTGCTAAAGCTGCCTCTGCCCCTGTGTTCTCATTCCAACTCTGCATATCACATTGTGGATAAAAATCAGCTATGTTGGCACAGAAGAAGAAAGAGATGGGCTAGCATAAGGAAGGGAAGAGCTTGTGTGTTGTTTGGCCCCTTTCTGAAGGGGTGGTTCTGTAAGCAAGTTTCCTACCTGGCAAGACAGCCAGCCATGTCAGCACAGCAAAGGGGCAGCATGCAGACAAGAAGGGGCAGGCCAGGAGGGGAAGCATGAAGACTGCTGAAAAATAGAGAATACTTAATTTCATATACCATGTTTGTGAAAGATGAGCATCTGACCAGTTTCAGTCAGAAAATGTATATGTTGAGCCAGCAACTGTCTAGGACAGATATGTTTGTTTGAATTCCTACCTCTCTTGATAGGCATACTGATTTAGTAACCACTAGCCAGCTACCCCTATTTATTTGTGATCCAGGGCTCAGAGAGTCACAAAATAGTCAAGTTTGAAAGGACCTGTGTAGGTCCTCTTAGCCAGCCCCCTGGTCAAGCAGGATCACCTAGAGCTGTTTGCCCAGGACCATGGCCAGACAGTCCATGAATTTAGAATTTGTTATTTTTTGTTGTTATTATCTGGGGGGGGTGGGGGTGTTGTTTGTTTGTTTAATCTCTAAGTACCTTTTCATTGGAGTAGGTGATCATCCATTGATTGTTCAGTTTGCTGCCAAAGAAGCGCAGGTTTTGTGTGATGCTGCCCGGATCATCTGTCCTTTTGCAGATGGAATAGACCTAAACTGTGGCTGTCCTCAGAGGTAAAGATTTGAAAAAGCTCGGTGAAATAATGATGAAATAATTTGAGAGTAAAGAATGCTGGTCTTCATTTTCATAGTCATTTCTGTCTTAACTTAAAAATAGACTCTGAGAGAGAAAGAGCTTTTTAACCTGTCAAAAATGTCTATGTGGCAAGACACTTCTGAATGTTCTAAGATGCCTGTCACCATGGTGAAACTGGGAAAACCAGGTGTATTTGCCAACCTACCTTTTTTCATTTCTGAAATACTGAGTGTTGGCTTAAGAAGTAAAGTGTCCATTCCTTCTCAGCAGCTGTTAAATATGCATTACCAAAACCAGCTTGCTGCAAATAATTTGGAGAGTGTTTTGAGAAGTGATGTGGCAATTGCCAAAATAATGAGCCAAGTCCCTGATGTCTCAGATTTCTGCAAGTGAAGGATAGTCTCTAAAATATAATTATACAGACTACATTATTCAGGAAGTGCTGAAAAGAATTTCTTCCATCTTTTATTAGGTTTATAAGTACAGTGAATTAGTGATCTACTTCTCTCTTAAATTAATAAAGATTTTGTCTTGACAGGGAAACAGAGTAGTAATGCATAAATGAAGATTCTTGCTAACTGGTTCAATTGAGAACCATTTATTCCATGCTTGTCAGGCAGCCTTTTTCTTAGTGAAGACCTCAAATGTAGGAAAGCAAAAGATAATACTACAGTGCCAATACTTGTCTATTCTAATTAGGGTGTCTTGACTTAAAATTACAGTATTTGAGAAAAGTCTTTTCTGGAGAGATCTGAGACTTCAGAATGGAAATGTAATTTTTTTTCTAAGCTAACTACAGTTAAGTATGCCAAACTGTAAGTTCCTTTTAGGACAAAAATATATGCTTACATTTGAATCCTTTGTTTCTTGCACATGCTATTTTCAAAATAACAAAACTTTTTGCACTTAATCTGCCTTTATAAGAAAAAATATATAAGAAAAAACCTGTTGCTGTTAAGTGGAAGTAAAGGTTATTTCATGCCAATCAAAATAAGGTGTTTTGCAGCTGAGGGAGAACAGAATATTACTGAACTCAGATCCTTCCCTGCACTTCAAAAATCTCCCTTTTCAATCCAAAATAATTTTCTGTTTAGAAGAAATCCATGACCCGATGGAGGGGAAAGCATCTTTTTTTTTTATTTTACGTATACTGTAAACCAGTGCTAATTTATCTTCCTTGCGAGTCCATTTTGTGGACAGAAAATTGAACTGGAAGAGATTAGTAACTTGTCCAAATGGAGACTGAACCAACATCTAAAAGCTGGTGCCAAACTGCAAACGAATCATTGATCTACAGCCAGTACTATCTCAGTCTACTCAACCACACATTCTGAAGGTTGTAAGGAACAAAACCAATGTATCTGACTGAAATTGATCTGCATTTTTTCAAATGTGGAATACACATGTTCTTTTTCTTTTAAAGGTGGGCGATGGCAGAAGGTTATGGTGCTTGCTTAATAAATAAACCAGAGCTTGTTCAAGATATGGTGAGACACGTACGGAATCAGATCGACAAACCAAAATTTTCAGTATCTATTAAAATAAGGTAGATCTAAGTGATGTTTGTGATACATGGAATAATCCTTTCAGTTTTTTCAAGAAATATTCATATAACAAGTACACTATATGTAATTCTGTTAATGTAATATTACGCATTATAATATTTTCCTTACATGTAAAGACTGCTGATATTTTTTTGACCCCAGATGAAAGAATATCTGGGAAAAGTAAACTAGACTTAGATAGTAGAACCAGCACAGGCTTTGACTACTTATCCAGGTAACATACTGGATGCTAAGAGTTTTCTTGCAATCCAGATGATATGAAAGTACAAGTTAAAAGGTTCATGGTTCCATAAAAGAAAAGCAACGCATAGTGTGTATCATCACAAGGATTTACTTTGTGAGCTGCTGGAGGCCAGAGCCACATTTGCTGCTGGCTATAAAGGGAAGGGTAACAAAATTGGGAGCTAGTCCCCACAGCTGCTGTAAGGAACACATCCTTCTGTAACCTGTTGCTTTGCATTGCTTTGTACTCCTTCCACTGTTCTTCCCATAATTACACATCCCATACGGCTTTTGCATATTTGCCAGTTAAGTTTCAACACAGTTTCCAGTCTTCTGAGAAAGAGGAACTACTATAATTGTTCTTTTTTTCCCCCCATAAAGGAAGCAAAATAATGATGTTTGGTTTAGAATCTTTTGGACACCCTTGTTCAATCTCTGTAAAATTTATCATGTATATTTCAGAGATGTGATGTAATTAGGAAATGATAAATTAAATAGTGGTTTCCGTACATTAAACTCATATGTCTTTATTGAAACAAACAAACCAAACCTCATTATCTTCCAACAGTAATATTTTCTGTATTTATAGTGATTTATACAAATCTGTGATAACTCCTCCTTATGGAGGACAGCGTTTTATACAGTTCAGGTAACTTATTATCTAATGTTTTCATTCTGTGAAATTGTAGGATCCATGAAGACTTAAAAAGAACAGTTGACTTGTGTCAAAAAGCTGAAGCAACCGGAGTTTCATGGATTACAGTACATGGGAGAAGTGTAGAAGAAAGACATCAGCCTGTACATTATGATGCAATTAAAATAATTAAACAAAGCATGTCTATACCTATTGTGGCTAATGGAGACATTAGAACTTTAAGAGATGCTGAAAAAGTTCATCACTTGACAGGAGCAGATGGTAAGTTTAAACACTTTGTCTTCTAAGTAAACTTACAAATGAGATTTTGAAGTATTTATTTTAGCTATAAATAGGACATGATTCGAGTGCTTTACACTCTTTGAGGAGACAAATGAAGAAGGGTGTTTTAGATGCCTTATAAAAATCATAAACAGAATCACTTGTAAATGCACTAGGGCACTGCTATTCAAAGCCACAAACGATGATTTCCAAAGCAAATTACAAAAGCTCTTTGCTTAATTATGCTATCTCATCATTCAGTAGTGGAGTTCAGGGAGACCTTCAGACATTCAGTCTATCTCCTTATGGAGCTGAACATCTTTTAAAGAGCTGTGAAGTTCCACTTGGAAATATCTACTTTGTGCACATAGGGTCAGATTTCTCACCATAAGAATATGGAGGGAAAATGAACTATTCTTAAGCCAGATATTTGACAGTTAAGATGGTTAGCTTCAAGGACACAGTGAGGTATTGCACTGTCATATCTGTGTGTTTACCTTGTCCTACACTTCAGTGGTAAAATTTGAGGATTTTTTGCAGGATTGCCCTGCAGTTACAGATCTGTAGATCTGAATTTCTATATGATCTGTATCAACACACTTTGGTCTTTCAGCTAGAGAACAACAGGACAGAGACAAGTAGCTAGTGTCATAAGGAAAAGTTCATGTGGCACGTTTCTTTTGACACTACTGGTGTTTAATGGCAACAGCAGAGACCAGTTGAACCAAACTGCTATGCTGCTACAGTGACTGCCCCCCCCCCCCCCCCAGTACAAAGCAGGAAGGAACTATGTAACACAAAAGAATATTTTCATAGCCAAGTTGACCTTCAGTAACAAAATTATAAATTATCAGGTTTTTTCTGTCATGTACAATAGTAAAACAAATTTTTCATTTTTTATCTTCCTCTCTTTTAAGAAAAGTCTAAGTGTGATAGGTTGTATGTTGATAGTACAGGAAAACAGAAGCCCTTAATCACAGGAAAATTACAATAGAACTTGTATGGGTTTATCTGATAATTTGGGGGTACAGTTGCAAATACACTGGCTTGCTCAGAAAGGTTTACTGCAGATCAAGAACCCTGAGATTCATAGAATTGAGACATCGAGCTCTTACTGGAAGAAGGATTATAGGTCAGCAAAATTAGCCTAGTTGCACTAAAATAACTAAGCCTACTGCTACTCTTGCATCTTTCCATTGTAATATTATGTTAAAAAGGCAAGTTTGTATGTGTGTAGCAAACATAACCAAAATACAATTGAGTTGCAGTTTCAAAAGTAGGGAAGCAAGGCTCCTGTGTCCTGGGCTTCATTTCACAATTCTGGAGAGATCCATCTGGAGACATCATCAAGTGGAATGTGCTGACAGGTGTAGGTACTCTGAGGTTTAGATTGTTAAATGTGTTTCTCCAGTACAGCTATAATACCCATCCCTGTTGTTCTCCCATTACTTGCCTGTAAGTTTTGGGTGGCTGCCCTAAGGGGGTGCTATAAAAAAACTACAGAAAGATTTAGTGTAACTTACTGCTTTAATTTCTAATTTGAAGGTGTAATGGTGGCTAGAGGACTCTTAGCAAATCCAGCAATGTTTGCAGGATATGAAGAGACACCTTTGAAGTGCATCCAGGACTGGGTTGACATTGCTCTTGAGCTTGGAACTCCTTTTACATGTTTTCACCATCACTTAATGTACATGATGGAACGCATAACTTCAAAGCAAGAAAAGAAAGTTTTTAATGTTTTATCAAGTACTTCAGCAGTACTAGATTATCTGAATGACCATTATGGTTTGTGATAAGAGAAAGTATTTTAGTTCTATATGAACTTGTATTTCTGCAATTATCAATACATTGTTAAATCTTTAATTGTGTTTCTACTTTTTAGTCACATTCCTATACTGAGTAAATATTTTCAACACAGCAAAACATTTGATCAAGGTGATACTTTATATTTTTAGTATTTTTATGTCAGCATTTTTCACTCTAGAAGATAGTCCAGACTGCACAAATGTGGAATTCTTTTTCCAATGCACTACACAGAGGATTGATTATTGTAAGACTCCAGTAATTTTAATTTATTTTTTCACCAAACAATTGCATATAGCAGTGTTTGCAAAACTAGGACGTTTCTTACATAAAACCTCCAAAAATTAGGACTACTTATAAATAATACCAAGAATTTCAAACCAAAAGAATAAAAAGGGAGAAGTTGTAGAAGTTTTTGCCTCAACTGACTAAGCTGTACTTTTAAATTTGAATAGATGTTTCAAGCTTAAAAGACTCTGAGGCCTGGAAGCCCAGCACAGTATCCTCTTTTAAAATAGATGTTGCTTTTGCAGACTAAAACTTTCTAAACTTACTTCCAACTCAGAAAAATTCCACACTTCATATAGTGGAAGAAGCCTGGAATAGATAAACGATGATGGAAGGAAGGAAAAGGGTAAAATGAAGAGGTAGCTTAAACTATCTCAATGTTCAAACTTAGCTGAATCTAAAATACAAGACTTGAAAGTTCAATCTAACTAAATTCAGTTTTGTTTATTTATTGTATAATGATTATATAAAATATTAAATCCCATCTACCAAAACAGAACTTTATAGGTCAAATAAAAGCTGACAGATTTTTCTCAGTGGGGCTCTTGAAGTCCTTTTTTGCCTGCTGGTATGTTGCTTATCAAAGCATGACAGCCACTTGGCTTTGAATCTTTGTATAGGAGGGAAATAGTGAAAATTAGAACAAGATAATAACATTACACAACAGCTGCACTTGTTCTGCAAGGGAAATATCACAAATCTGTATGGTACAATTATTTGTAATCAAATAATTTTTTTCTTTCAAAGTTTACACAGAAATTCATACCAGAAATTGCTTCACTTTCTGCCTCTGAGACTTCTGTGAATATACAAGTGAATAGTTCTAAATTTTCTAAATAAATTACTTGGTTTTCCATACAATTGTACTTATTTTTTATTATACTATAAATTATGACAACCTGGGGGAGGGGAGTTTCCTTTTGTTGATACTCCCCAAATCATTTAGATATCAAAATACTTACAAATTTTTAATTCAGTTGCATAAAAGATCATTTTTCATAATGAAGATGTCTGCTTTAGGCGTATGAACATAAGTTTGAAAGGCATGACCTGGGTCATCAAGTCTAGTTCACTATTTAAGACAATGGAGTTACATAACTTCCAATATGGTCACCTTCCTGATGTGTTAACAAATGGAAAATGAGAGACATGCTTTGCTATAGTAGGCTAATTGAGAAAATCTGTGTGACCTTTTTTGGTGCAATAGATCCTACATTCCTTCAGACAACTGGTTTTTTTCACCCTTCTGGATTGTAATTTTTTGTTGACATTGGATGAGCACAATTATATGTTGTATTCCAGGAAAAACCCTCAGCAATGTCTTCTGCAGTTAATACTTCTCTTTCTGATGCTTCACTTTTCCTTGACTAATACTCATCATGTAATTTCTGAGCTCCCTGTTCTACAGCAAAAGTTCTTATTTCCCAAATGCATGACATAGTGCTTAGGACTGCTCAATTTCCAACCTCAAGTTCATCCAACTACAGTGCAATACTCAGTTCTCCTCAGTTCTGAAAATGCCTCCAGCCTTCTGAATCAAAATTAAAAAGTAAAACCATACAGCTGAAACGTAGAAGAAAGGGATTATTTAAAGTACTAACCAAGCCCTGTGTTAGCATTTCCTTAAGATTTTTGTGATTTGACAAGCAACTATTACTTGCCCCATTAGCCACAAGGAGCAGAGAAGAAAAAGTTATTTATTATAATCAAATAATACAAATGCAAGGTGTTTTTTTTTTTTCTTCTTAGGGGGGAATGCAAATTTTAGAGGACTTGAAATACCTTGACCTATTTAGGACTTGAATACTTGATAATTTTGAAGACAGCAGTTGTTGTGCCTGTGTGAGATCAATCACAGAGATTTCTGCCTGAAGTACAAGGTTGCTGTTAATATTGCTAGTAGTTAAAGAATGCTTTATCTGGTCAGTTATGCACCATGAAAGTCTACAGAAGTTTATCATCCCCTTCTAAGAATGAAATTAATTTTAAGCCTTCTTCTCTTGTGAATTTTGTATACATCTGAACACACTCCACTGTATTGATGTAGAATAAATGGCAAAATTGGAGTTTATAGCTGTAGTCTGAACAGCCATACTGTTCTAATATATATAAATTGCTAAAGATGGGAGTTAGCTGTTTAACTCCCAGCATTGTTCTAGAGTATGGGAGGGGGGTTGGAACTAGATGATTTTAAGGTCCTTTCCAACCCTAACTGTTCTATGATTCTATGATTATAAGCCATTTGAATATGGGAAAATCCTCATCCCCAGTTTAAGGCCATTAGATAGATTCCTTCCCTGTGGTGTATGATGACATGGACTCCATGGCGGTACAGAATCATTTACTTAACAAAGTTGCTTGATTGTATACTTTAAGCTTACAAGGGTGTTATGACAACCAGTAAAAACCCGCCACACAAATATTCCTCTACAGGTTACTCAATCACCTTGGTTTTGTAACCATTTCCTTGGTTACTGTTTCTAGCTGATCTGTACTTTAGATGCAGCAATCTATGTTGTTGCTTAAGCAATCATGGCTCTTGCAGACTGTTTCTTTTTAGGACTACATAGGGGTTAAGTACAAGATAATCTTCTGCTCCCAGAACTTCTTGTTTGAAGCAGTCTATGAGGAGCAAACATTATTTTTCTCCTTGGTCCGTTTACACCGGCACTTTGTGGCTAGCCTCGCATATGCAGCTGCATTGTGTTCTTAAGATGGTCCTGAACACTTCCCCTGTATATGTTAGTTACAATGTCACCTGGTACTTAGTCCTTTTCTAATTTTCAAATTTGAGTCTCTTTTCTAATTTTCAAATTTTTTAAAGTTTTTCTTCAAGTAAGATAAGATACAAAGTTTTGTTTCATTTTTTAGGTCCTTTGCCTCCTGCAGCTGGTCCAGCTCTTTGTCCAGGGTGTTAAGCCACCCTACACAACAATGCCATATTCTTGTAATATCTCTACTTTCTTATAACTTTTACCCTGCTGCAGCAATCCCTCACACAGCCCATACAATACCATTTTCTCTGTTCCTTACCAGTAAGTTGATTCTTAGGTCTCTGTCTTGGGTTAATGCAGTGTGTGATGTTATACAAGCCATACAAGCTGTCACACAAGACAAACTAGAACGAAACAAATTCAAACTTTGCCTTTGCTTCAGCAGAGGATTAGTGAGATTTCTGTCCTCTAACCAGCTGCTAAGACACAGGTGTTTTGTATTTCTACTTCTGAATACCTCGTGACCTTACTGGTGGGAGAAAAACTTATTTCTTATAGCTATAATGTCTTAAGGTTCATGAGGTTTTTTTCCCAAAGCAGCCAGACATTATATATATTGTCTGTCATATTTATCATATGGTAGAATAGGCATCCTTAGATCAACAACCCAGACTTGTACAGCTTCAGTAGAATACCTTCCAGAAGTGGCAGAATGCACTCAATAGGAGAAGGGAGGTTTCACAGGTGCTTGCAGGAGGCTTCTCTCTGTTCCTCAGATCTCACTCCAGGTCGGTGGGGAACATGCACCAGCTGCAGTGGAAATGCACAGCAGTCACTGTAGAGTGAATCTGAGATTTTACAAAGCCCCTGAATTGAAAAAGCGGAGTCTCTGGCAGCAGGGATGTGCAAATATGGTCCTACCAGTATGAGGCTAAGCTGCTGGGAGAGCAGCTTACAGCGCTAGTAAGAGGTAAGCAGCTCAGAAATGGGAACTGCTCTGGAATTAAAGGACAGAAAGTATGTAATAACATTTTAACAGCTTAAATAAAGTATCATGGCTATAGGCCAATAGCTAAAATGTAATAACCAGGACATACTAAGAGGTTATGTTTTGTCTATACTTCTGATTAAATATGTTTATGAAAACATGTTAGAAATACTCCTTAAAACCCAAGCTGTTTCCACTGTGTAGACTGGATAGAAATAGCTGACTGTATCACTGTGTCACTCTCCAATACTTGTTATGCATAAAAAATTATTTGGGATATAACCTTTCATCCAGACATTGCTTGGCGGCAGCTAGGAAAATGTTAATACACTGGCTCCATCCCCAGGCCACAGACCTGTGAAATTTTCGTGTAAACAATTTCAGATTGTGAGCAGCTGCAAACAGTTCTGCTCAAAACTGCTTATGCAAGAACTTCCTACCCCGTGTCAGCTCCAGTGGATTAAAGTAACAAAGAACTACTGTTAACGGCATTTAATCTGTCTCATTTTGATGGAAATTAATCGGGACAGCATTCCCAAAAGCGAGTAGTTGTGTCAAGAGGGCTGGTGATGCCAGGCTAGGCAAGTAACCTCTTCCACCTGCAGCACATCAGGATCTGTTAGGACTGCAGGCAGTCAAGTAAACTGCTGGGTGGGCCCTGGCCTGTGCTAACTTCTGATTGCACAGAACACTGGATATGAATGACACGTGGAACTGCCAGATGTGACATGCAGCAGTGTGAGCAGCTGGTAAAAGCTGCAGATAGCTCTGGGAGGCATGGCTGGATTTCAGCAGAGGTTAAGGACTAATTAGACAACTGAACAACAGAAACTGACCTCCTATCTACTGGAGTAGTTTTGTGGGTCCATTCAGAACTAGAAACTCACAGGGCCAAGAGTGCCCGGTAACTGTATCAGTACCTCAGTAACGGCACGTGAGGCCAAGACTGCCCAAATAATGGTACCAGAAATACTGAGTGTAGGTACAGATACAGCAGACCTAGGAATAACAATGAAAAGTGATTAGGGAAGGGTTATACAGGGGCAAAGAACAGGAGTTACAAAGGTAGCAAAAGAGATGGTCAAGAAATAAGAAAACAGGTAACAAGCTATGGAAATAATGTGCTTAGAGCCTCGCTGTGCTGCTGAAAATCACCACACAGGACAGTGGGATAGAACAGGATTTTCTGAATTAATACTGGTTTATTCATGAGGTCCAAACATGCCTGTTTGACAGCATTGGAGACTGCTGTTTGGTTGTTACTTATGGTGTCTTTATGCGTATGGGACTCATTTTCCTGGAGAAAACAGATTTATGGGATGTTAATACATTATAATATTGTAATGCGGGGGGGGGGGGGGGGGGGAATGGACAGACAGGCATACACAGTACTTCAGTTGAACTTCAGAAATAACAAGCTGAGCTGAAGTCCCTGATCGAATAAGCTCAAGTGACTGAGCAGTGGGATGATTGCAGCAAGACACCAGAGCAAAACGCTTACAACCATTCCCTCGGTGTGAAAACCGTATTTAACTTTTCTCAACGTGGGGATCCCTGCATTTTCCAACAGAGGCGTGGTCCTCAATAAAGTCAGTCAGACTCGGTCATTGGTCCATGTCTTGCTTCGGGCCCTACCAGAGCGCGGGCAGCCGGGGGTCAGCCCCCCGAGGACGGCCTTCGGGGCGACGGGCAAGGACCTCGCCAGCACCTTCTTCAGGTGGGAGGTGGCCCCCTCCGCCCCGCCCCGGGCCATGGCCCTGGCCTCGCCCCGCCCAGCCCTGCCTCTCGGGGAGCTGTGTCACTCAGTCCCGGTCCGACCCACATCCTCCGGGCACTGCTTCCGCCCGACAGCGCGGGCGGGAAGGTCCAGCCCACTCTTTGGTAGGCCCGGCCTGCTCGGCTGGGGGAGGCTCTGCTTCCCGCCGCTTAGCGATTCGTCTCCGTCAGGCTCAGCCGGGCGCCGGCGCTGAGGTGGTTGCGAAGTCTGGGCTGCCGTGAGGGGGAACGGTATGGGCCTGGGGCGGGCCAGACTTTGCCTCCGCGGCTCTGCAGAGGGGAGCGGGCGCGGTGGGAGGGAGCCGTCGGCCTGCAGCACAGGCGGGACTGCAGTCTCTTAGCGCGGGACTGCGCCGGCGACGATGGTGTTAGCAGTGAGAATCCCAGCTCCCTGGCAGGCGGAGGAGCTCTGCCGCGGGGGCTGTTTCAGGACGGGCAGTCGGTGCAGGGACGAACGCACACCCGCACAGCCTGCGGCTAAGTTAGATTGAGATGTTTCCCTTTGAAACTCCCTGGCCCAGCGCGAGGCAGCTGGGGCGCGGAGGAGCTGCCGGCGGCCGGGTGTCAGATCCCGCCTGAGCCGCCTCTTCATCCGCAGGCCTCGGGACCATGACTTTCCAGTGGACGGCAGTTGCCACCTTCCTGTACGGTGAAATAGGAGTGATCCTGGTGCTGTGCCTGCCGTTTATTTCTCCTCTGAGGTAGGACTTAAGTGTGCTGGCAACCCCAGCTCTGTCTTCTCACCGGCTTGGGTCTGTTTTACGCTTTTGTTGTTATAAACACGGAGCTTTGTTGCGTCTTAAACTAGTTGTGACCTGAGCTGAAAGAATACTGTTTGGGACTTGAGTATCTGGAGTCTCAAGCGCCATAAGCCTCTTTTGAAGAGTGTTGTTTGTTTTTTATACACTGCTGATTCATCCCAACAGCAGCCAGGGTGCCCAGCATGAGCCCCATTGCTTGCGTCAGCAAGTGGGACCTCTTTGGGGTTTTTGGAGCAGCCAGCATACAGGACATCTGGCTTCCCTTGCTGTGAGCTCAGCAAGAAATGAGGGTACAGCGAGGCTTTTCTAGGAGTTGTTTGTCAAGTTTGTGAGGAGCAGCTCTGCAGCCTTGTGGTATATGCTAGGCAGTGTGGTTGCTGAAGAGATAAGAGACATCTGGTATTCAAAGCTATCCGCATAGCGTGTGTAAGGGCTGTAGGAAACCTGTTATCACTTTTTTTAAAAAATGTGGACTTCAGCTTGATGCAAAAGCTTCAGAAATACTGAAATAAAGGCCTCTGTGAGTTTTTATGTAGCTTAATAAGATAACATCTGTGGAACATGACACAAACACCAAGAAAAATAATCATTCTTGTAAAATAAATGCTCTTAGTAAGGGAAAGAAACAAAATGTGTTAATTACTCTTATCGTATGAAAAGGCCTGGCTTACTGTGTTACCTTGTTTCCTCTAAGTAGCTCTTCAAATTTGGTAATGTTACTTTTATTTCTGTATGGGAAATAAAGCTAGCCTCTCTGCAAGAAGCAAGAGAAATGATGATGATTTCTTTCCAGAAGATTATTAAATCTTAAAAAACAAACAAAACCACAAAAAAAAAATGAAACCTTAAAGCTTTTTTTCAAAAAAAAAAAAATCCACTTTGTGTTGTGTAAAAACCATTATACCGTTGCTTTCTGCATTTTTAAACTTAAATTCATATTTAGGATGAAAAACGTAGCTTTTACTGTAATACCTTCAGGAACAAAACCTGGAACAAAGCCTTGCTGTGTAGAGAGTCTGAATTTAACTGCGTAAATGTGTAGTAGAGTCTAAATGATTGGATCCTCCACAGCCAATACCAATGATTAGTCATGTTTCCTCAACTTTAGAATTTGAAACTGTTATAAATTCTAAACTAACCTTTAGTTTTTACAAACTGGCTTGGAAAGGCCTCAGCATTTCAACATAGCTTATTGAGTTCTGGTATTTTCTGTTGTTTCCTAATCAAAAGTTCAACTGTATGTAAAAAGCAAGAAGTATTCTGGGAGTTGTAATCATCAGATTATTAATGGCTTATGTGAGGCAACAAGCCGCAAGAATTTCTGCAGGCTGATGACACATGCAGAGTATATTGGGAATATTGGCTTCACTTGTGATATAAACAGGGCTTGAATCTAATCTATGTCTGTGAAAAGCAAATTCATAACCTGAAGTGTACCAAAATCTATTCAAACACTAAACATGGTGCTTGTAATTATATACAAAGGATAGATTTTTGTGCTTGGTTTATAGCATTCAGCTCTTTGAACAGTGGTTTCTGAAAGAGAGAAATCCTTTGTGACATGTGCAATTATCTTCTTAATAAAACTGTTGCAGGAAACTTGTGTGGTTACAGATTAGATTTGGCTGCTCTGACAGTGCCAGAGGACAACAGTTCTTAGTGATCCGGGAGCTGGTTCTGTCAGTGGCAGAAACATGCACTATTAAAGACAGACATGAAGCTGCTGTTCTCTGAAGTTTTGATTTATTTGTTTGTCAGTCTTCAAACAGATTGTTTGCCTCCTTTGTGCCTGCACATTTTTTGAGTGTTAAACTCAGTTCGGAATTTGCTAACGAGCTTTTAAGTTCCTGGGGAATAAGTAAATTGACAATAGAAAGATGCAAGTAAGCAAAAAGACAGAACTGTAGTGCCAGATGCAGCACATCTTTAGTTGTGGCCACTGTTGTAATTTGGAAGATTACATCTATGTGTCTTCTGTCACCGAAAGGAAATGGGAGTGTTAGTAAAATGAATGCCCACACTTGAGGAAAAATGTGTAAAAATGTAACATAGGAAGACTTTGCATTAAAGATTTTCTGTTTTAGCCTGAATATAGCTTGGCTCTGTAGCTGGCCTAAGATTATACCTTAGAAGATCACTTCTTAAGTGGAGATTGGTATGAAACTTGGAGAATTACATGTTTGAAGAGTTAGCAGGTTAGCTTTCTTTGAGTTGTAGCTTGGCTTAATTAAAGTATGCTTTTTTGTTGACACAAACCATGGCTGTCTGCTATAAAGAATTCAGATGATACCAAAAGATTTAAATGGGGTTTTTGAGCATACAGTGCTAAACACTTTCTGGTGCAGAACCAGAAGGAAACATTGGAGATGATGCAATGGTCTAATGTAAGTTCACAGTAGGTTAGAAACTGCTTTGTTGAAGGATGAATTTTAACAGTCTCTGAAAATGTAAATACTCTTAACAAAAGTTGGAAATTTTACCTAAAATAATCAGATGGTGACTAGCAGGTGTGTTTTACCCCCAGTGGCATAATTAGATATTACTTCACTTGTACAGTAGCAGTGGTTCTAACCTGCAGCAAAAGACAAGCAGGTGTTCTGTTGTTGTCTCTGTGAGGTTCAGTTCATTTGAGCACATCACATGCTTTTTTTGTACTCTCAAGTGTGAATTTTTGCAGACCTCTCCATGCAAGAATATTGAATAGGCAGTTGTGTAAACAACAACAAAATGGTCTTTACCACCAGTGGGCCTCTGAAGTTGCTTCTCTAGCCAACAAATGTATGCTCTTGAAAGAGGTTTTAACCCTTGACAAAACATAAACATGAGTTGTCCTTTTGTTATCATTTGCAAGATAGAATGTAATAATAATCTGTGTAACTTTCTAATTATGCAGACTCATCAGTGTAAAAAAAATAAGCCTTCTGAAGAAGGATGGTAGAGATTATCTTAATTTGTGAAGGGTTTTTATTTTGTTTGGCAACAAGGGGTATAAGTGGATAGAAATAAATTGTTGGAATGGGTTTTACATCTTTACCCCACCCCTGAATTTATTGTACTGAGTTTGTGTTCAGGACTGAACACGAAGTAAGCTAGCCAAAGTAAAAGCTAAAATAAAACACACCTGGAGAGTACCTGCTATCATGCAAGAAGTTTTCAAGTTGAGCCAACTGTCTTTGCTTGTATTGACAACAAACAAAAAGGAGACAAGCAAGTTGGATTGTTGGAAAAGTTATGTATACCTAAATTATGTTGCAATTAAAGCAGCTTTTTAGAGACCTTACGTAAGTCTTGTATCAATAATAAAGCTCTCTTCTGTGAGGTTGTTATGCCTTTTTTTCTAATGCTTAATTCTTGAATAACACAATGCTATTTTACAGATGGCAGAAGATTTTTACGATTCCTCTATGGAGCAAAGTGGCAGTTTTTTGGAACAAGATGTTCCTTACAATAATAGTTTTACTGATCGTCTTGTTTCTTGGTAAGTGTTCAATAATTTCTTAATGGAGGGTGAGGGAAATGGTATATGGAGTCCATTGCAGTAGATTAATTGAAAGAGTTGTACTCTAAATCATCTGATTTGTTTCATAGCTCTGCAGTAGAATGGAGGAGGAGAGGGCTTACACTGCGTAATGTTCGGAGTCCAAATGCAATAGTAATATAGTAGTGACTGAGGAGGGAAAATGGGGCTTGGTCTAGGTTGCTGCTTGGTTTCCCTTTCTCACACACATACATGGACTTGAAATGTTTGAGAACCAGAATTGGCTGAGCTGTGCAGTATGCAGTAGATGGCACTCTTTCTCTTGGTTGCTATTGAAATAGAACACCAGAGAAATATATCAAAGCCCTGGGCTATTTACTACTTTTGCTTAGCACAGCTACGAAACAGCTGTTGACTACGTTTGTTACAAGTAGATGATGAAGCCTATCAAGTAGGAGTAAAGCTTTGGTGGATCTGGAGCTTGAATGATGACCATATGCTGTAAGAACTGATGATGTGTCATGAAATGTGTATTTTTGTTGATGTATAAGAGGAGATTTTAGGTATTGTTTGCCTTAA